AAAAAAAAAAAAAAAAAAAAAAAAAAAAAAAAAAAAAAAAAAAAAAAAAAAAAAAACTTTTAGGTTTTTTTTTTTGAATGATTAGATATTCTAAATGTGAATAATTAATTATATGTAGCGCAAGTAGTTAATCTTTATCAACTTGAACCCCATGATACTATCCATAGATGTTTATAGGTGACAATATCCATGAAGGGTTGTAAATAGCAAGTAGTTAATCTTTACACCCTCTTTTGCATGGATATTTATTGTATGGAGGTTAGGTCATAGTATTCATGCAAGATTGGGTACTTTTAAACTAAAAGTTTAGGTACTAATTGTCATCGTAACTTTTAGTTACTTCAAAATGGTTTTTGCACAATTGTACCGTGATAATAATTTAAAATTTAAACTTTCAAGTGATAATATTCCAACTAAAATAGAAGGTTGGATTGGGTTGAGTTACCAATTCAAACGTTCGGGCTGGTTCAAAAAATTACCTCAATCAAATCAAATCCAACTTTAACCTGTTATCATTTGATACTGGACATCCTATTTGTTGATATTGAAAAATATATAACTTTGGGTGGCATTGTTTTCATTGGAAAAAAAAAATGATAATTGAGGTTAATTTTTCTTTAAAAAAATATAATAAATAATGCTCATGAAATATAATAAATTCAGTACCGTTACAATTATCCATGTATCTCTCTACCTGTTGCAATTCGCTTGATTCTCCTGCACGCTTCATCCTCCACTACTAGTAGTTCGCCGATGAATAAGGAACACTACATTGACAGCGAAACGAGGATATAGCTATTATGAAATTGTTTTCAAGACAGACTATGTTCTCTGATCTTCAAATATTTGATATGGCGTCAATAATCTGACAGAATCGTTACTTTAGCAATACTCGTTAACTGCTGAAGGAGAAAGAGTTTGTTCTACCTCTCTAATTTTATACTTCAATAGGTGTCGCACTCTTGATACACAGAAATCAGCATGAGAAGGCGTCTTGCCAGCAATCTCTTCATTGCTGGGGGGATAACTTGACCCACCGCTCTGGGCAAACAACAAAATTCGTCACCAAAGACGGCGACTCCCTTTTATGCATGCAGGTCCTTGTTTGAACTCCACGCTGGAGCTTTAGGGCCCACACCATCGCCTAAGATTGCAACTCCATTTTCAACACTTAATAGGGGATCGGATTCACTTTCCTTCACCTATAAATAACAACATGTACATTGTGTTTCAGTTCAATGGCGGTAGAGCAAGAGATAACATGTCAATCGTAGAACCACTTATGGTACCTGGGATAGTTGTGCTGAAGATACTTCATTACACTTCTGTTGGCTCTCGAGGGAGCAATAATAAGAATAAAGAACCATTCCAACTATGGCAACCAGGATTCCCAAAATGTTCCGCCAGCTAAATGGATCATGAAGCAGAACATAGCCAAACCCCAAAACTAAACATGTCTTTAGATGTCCGAGGACCTGATATGTAACTGCAGAAGTCTTTCCAATAACTAGAAACGTACTGAAGTTGACTGAGACAGAAATAAGGCAGGAGAGTACAATAAAGAACTGTACACAGAAGCACAAAAAAAAAAATCATGTCAGAAGTAATATAGTTAGGAAGGGGGAAGAGGAAAGGGCTCAGCAGGAAGCATAATTGTTAAGCTCTTACCAGCACTTGGGGAGTGTATTTGAAAGCAAAAACATTTAGATCAGTCAGACACCAATCCAGAAATGGGCCAGCGACAAACAGAGTTAATGCCTGATAGGGACAAGACTGGTATAGAAGTTGTGTTGAAGAAACTTTGAACTTTTTCTGAATGGTGTTTGTCATCTACGTTTTACTGGTCAAGGACTTGAACGGAAAGGGGAAAATGCAGAAAAACTTGAGCAATAAGTGAGTGCCTAGACACTCACTCACTCAGATAATTAAATCAAGTAAAAAATAAATAAATCCTGATATTCACGTTAACTAGAAAGGGAGAAAGGTGCTAGCAAGTAATTATACGCTTGCCAATAAAAATAAATAATAAATAACTGGTTAAAGAGATAGTAGGTCTGGTGGTCTCGTGAAAAACAATCTCTCCACTCTGCAAATAGATAATCGATCACTCAGACCAGAAAGAGAGCAAATTAAATCAGTACATCCCACAAGACATGTTTTAGCCTACACATGAAAACTAATCATCAAAAGGCATGCAAAGTAAATACCAATAGTAAAAGTAACTCAGCTACGGATACAATCTGTGCAACACATGTGGTAAGAACTGCAAGAAGAGACAAGAAAGAGCCGAGGGCATTTAATTGTAGATCTGTCACAGTTGCAATTCCAACACCCAGGAGGAGGATCGTGAGTGAAAACTGGATGCTTTTACTGCAAGAGTAGTATAAAGGTCAATATGCTGCGAGGTAGTATATTCAGACAGGACAATATAACAAAAACCAAAAACGCTCGCAGCTATACCACCCATCTGATAGATATATTTGAAAAATAAAATCATCATCATTTAAGGCGCTCACAGTTGACCAACAAACAAGAGAAGATTACTAAAATTATCGTACAACTAAGAAAACACATCAATATTTAAAAGAAACTCAGTCTAAGTGGGTTATCTTGGCCTAAATATGGTTTATTTCCCAGTCCATGTTTCCATCCAAATCAAGTCTTGTCTTTTTTTTTTTTTTTTTCTTTTTTAACAATTTCATTGCCGAATGTAATATAGGAGGTGAACCACTCGTAGACATCCAAAAGGAAAATTACATACAAGATTTTCAATTAGTAATTAAAGATGAAAGACTATAATCTGAAAAAGAGTGTTTACATTTACACCAATACTGAGTTAAGAAATAATCAATTCCAGAAAGCTGTCAAAATTGGAGGAACCATCTCTGAAAATTCTACAATTTGTTCCACACCAAAAATACCAATAAAACGTACGGTTGAAGGCCAGCCATAAACACTTTTTTGGTCCATGAAAAGGATGACCCAACAAATCAAAGCAATGAGATAAATCACATTATATGGTAGAGCCAAACTCCAACCAAAAGCACCTAAACTCTGTGACCAGTAAAAAAAGGCAAAAGAACAACCAAAAAGATGAGCTAGAGTCCCATTCGCCAATAAACACATGACAAAGCAAGAAACGGAAAGAAGGAGATAAAGAGATATTAGGCGTTCTGCAATGTACACGATCAGCTGTATTAATGCCTCTATGACTAAGCTCACATAAAAATACCTTTATGTTTTTTTTAGGATAATGATCTTTCCAAAGAACCGAATAAAGGTTATTTGATGTTGAGCCCCTTCAATGAATTAAATCTGCCATTACAGAACTGATAGTAAAACAATGGGAAGGGTCGAAAGGCCAAACGCAAACGTCATGTGCATTTCTCAAGTTAATGGAAAATAAAAGATTAGAAAGATGAACCCATTCAAAAGCTTTATTAAGGTTCCTCTAAAAGTCTCTGCATTAGTGTCCCTACTCAAGTCAGTATATACACTAGTTCAAAATAAAGGATGTAGTTTGGAGGAACTTCACTTTTCTGGTTGAAACATTCAAGGCTGAAGGAGAATCCTTCTTTTGAAATAAACAAAACGGGTATTCTAATTGCATCCATCAGATTTCGTTCTCATTCACCATTTTTTCTTGTCAGAAGTACCCTTCTCTCTACTGTTATTCCTCTTTATAATCTTTCTTTGCTTATTTAATGGAAAAACCATTAGAAAGAGGTGAAATGGAGGAAAAAATATACCAAAAGTGAAACGAAATATGGACACAAATAGTTCACTCTTCAGTAAATGTATATTTTTATTTATGAATTTGTATTAATCCAATTTTACCTCAAGTCCCAACTGATTTGAAATAACCATAATTCAACCCCAGACAAACTAGTTCA